GGGAAGAGCAAGAAGCAAGCTCTAGCATCAGTTCTTAAAATCATGAACTCAAATGGAGCTGATCTCTAGGGAGAGCTTATGAAGTGTGTTTCGTCCTTCTAAAGCCAGTTGAAAGGGCTACTGACTGATGACAGCTGAGGGGAAGAAGAGACAACCGTGCTGGTCTTTTGGACAAGCTAATAAAGGAGTTGTATTGGTAACCAAAAATTTTAAAGAATTATTTCTTTTGGACTACAATGCACAGAATATTCCACCCAACACGGTGACCTGGGACTTGGAGTGCCTTGAAAAAGTGTGTTGAAGTTTTACAGAAACAAAGCTCTTTGTATACAGAGACTATTAAAATTCTAAAGGTACCTCACAAGACGGGTGCTTTGTTTAATGACGAATCCGCATTACGACGAGGATTTTGCGATCGCAAAAGTGATTGCAAAACGATATTTTGAATGGGGGAATTTCGCTGCACTGATTTTCGCTTCCCGACGATCAAAACAGCTGATTGTCAGGTTTTCAAAATGGCCACTGGGTGCTCAAAATGGCTGAGTTTAGGAGCCATTTTTCGCTGCACAGGAACCCGAAAATGGCCGCCCCTATGGAGGATCTTCGCTGGACGGTGAGTTCTTAGCCGATTGGAACGCATTAACCAGGTTTTAATGCGTTACAATGGCTTTTTTTATTTTCGCTTTACGATGTTTTCGTTCTACAGCGATTTCGCTGGAACGAATTAACGTCGTAATGCGAGGCACCACTGTATTTTTTAAAGACTCACTTATTGCACCATATGCCCCATGGCACAACCATAAACTGTATGACAAAAACTAAATTAGCTGCATATTGTCCTCCTTTTAGCATTATCTGCAACAAAAGCCCTATAGCTGAACAGCAACTAAAAAAGTACCCTTCATTGGTGGGGTCCCTGCCCTTTGATGCACTGTGACTGCGTTGACTAGTTATATTAGGTCTGTACTTTATCATTCTTACTTTTTGTTTCTTTTTTTATTATCTTTTAGTTATTTTGCATTATCTGACAATAATTATATATCTAAGCTTTTTGCCATATCACCTCACTTCCTGCAGTAAAACTATGTTAGACTGGAAAAAAAAGTTAAAAGTGAAGGAGTGTATTATAAATGTTCAAAATATTGCAAACATTATTTCCTCCCAAATGAGATATTTAATCCAGGAGATGGCAGTACCAGCTTATCTCAGCCACTCCCAGACACTATGCAATGGTGTTATTATTCATTATTACTATGCAATAACCTGCAATACTACCCATTTCCTCCATTTTTTTCAAAAATAAAACACAAGATATTTTGCTGCTTTTACTGAGGTTCTAAAGCGGTGAAACATTTGTTTGCTGCAGACTGTTTGCTGCAGACTCACTCTGAAGGATGTGACTACATGAAGGAAAACCCAAAGCCACACAACAGATAAAGGATCATTTCAAGGAATCAAAATATTTTTAGCAACATACTAGTTCAGCATTGTGATGAGTGAATTAGTAATTACCTCTGCTAGCTATTTCCAGAGGCTCCAAATACTCAAGCTCACATTTTTCTACAGTTCTACTGCAAATGGGAACCCATGTATTGCTTTCCAATGTCTGAGAATGTAGCACTCACTGAAGAATTTTCAAATTAATTGTTAAATACTTTCCTATAATAATTTAAAACAAGAAACTAGTATGTAGCTGAACAATGTCATTAATACCTTTAATTTACAAACAGTAATACCTTTGCAATACATAATTTATTTTACCTGTTGCATTTTCTCTTTTGTTCATAGAAGGAAGAACACAGATATTCACTGATT